GCCGTCCTGGAGACCACAGGAGTCATCCTACTGGGTCAGACCCAAAGTCCAGCTAGTCCCCTGCCAGACGAGGGAGAGAGACCCACAGGAATAGACACAAGTCCAGGCTCATTCTGGTCTCTCCTAGCTTGAGAGTGGCCAAGGCCTTCAAGCAGGAGAGTTAATATCCCTTCCAGGATGTTTCTCGTTATGATGCGAAGGTTTGTGATCTGTGCAAATGTGCCGTACTTGGCTGTGGCAGTGAGTCCCACCATCTAAGCCACGGGTTCCCAAACTGGGGGGCGTGAAGGAATTCCAAGGGGGGCACAAGGCAACCCAGTTCCCCCTCCGCCCGGGTCAATCCTCTTGCTATTTTTGTTTTTCAGCCCTTCAGTTTCTTTTTTTTTTTTTGCTCAACAAGTTTTGCTGCTGGGGGGGAGGGGCGTGAGGGTTTCTCAAAAATCAAAAGGGGGCATGATGCCGAAAAGTTTGGGAACCACTGGAAGTGGGGACACACCCAGGGCAGTGGATCTACCACCGTTTGGTGGAGAGCAGACATGCCGGGAGCTGGCTGAATGGTTTTCTGTTTCCTGAATAAACTGCCAGAGACTGCGGCCACGTAATCAAGGCAGGCAACAGGCAAAGCAGGCACCTGTATCCAGTTAAGGCCTACGGCGCTACGTTCAAAGATTTCCCTAGGGAAGGAAGAGGAAGGAGAAAAAGGAAGGACTGAGAGGAGGAAGAGCATTGCTGGAGAGCTGAGGTTTGCAAAAAGGGAAGAGTGCTTGGGCTGAAGCAGGGAAGATTCGCTCCGGTACCACGGAGCATTTGGCGAATGGCTCAGGGAAAAGGCTGCTGAATTGGGACTAGAGGAAAAACTCCATCAGTTGCTGCTACCTAGAGTCCTGGGGCCAGAACTCGGAGTAGGGGGTGAGCCCTGATTCCCCCAACCCTCCCCACCCCACTAAAAAGTCTGTTCCTGGAAAGGGAGGCCAGGATTATGAAGGGGTTACACCCCAATCCTTGAACTTTGCCAATGATGAGGTAAGCTGCAACCTTGGCCTCCAGAAAAGCTAAGAGGCAGGGTGGAGGGTCACTGCGAGTCTCCGAGGCAAACAATAACCCTCTAGAAGTGCAGGTCCCACGGGGCATGGCTGGGGATTTGCCACAAAGCGTATTGTCCACAGAACCGGTACAGCAACCTTCCCCTCACACACCACACGCTGCTGTGTACAGATGTGGTCTCCTCACCTCAAAAAAGAGATTTTGGCCTTGGAAAGGGTTCAGAAAAGGGCAACTAAAATGATTAGGGCTTTGGAACGGGTCCCATCTAAGAAGAGGTTAAAGAGACTGGGACTTTTCACTTAGAAAAGAGGAGACTGAGGGGGGATATGATAGAGGTCTATAAAATCATGAGTAGTGTGGAGAGGGCCAATAAAGAAAAGTTATTTATTAGTTCCCTAAATAGAAGAACTAGAGGACACCAAATAAAATTAATGGGTAGCAGGTTTAAAACTAATAAAAGAAAGTTCTTCACACAGCGTGTAGTCAACCTGTGGAACTCCTTGCCAGAGGAGGCTGTGAAGGCTAGGACTAGAACAGAGTTTAAAGAGAAGCTGGATAAATTCATGGAGGTTAGGTCCATAAAAGGCTATTAGCCAGGGGATAAAATGGTGTCCCTGGCCTCTGTTTGTCAGAGGCTGGAGAGGGATGGCAGGAGACAAATCGCTTGATCATTGTCTTCGGTCCACCCCCTCTGGGGCACCTGGTGCTGGCCACTGTCGGCAGACAGGCTACTGGGCTAGATGGACCTTTGGTCTGACCCAGTACGGCCGTTCTTATGTTCTTATGCTGCCACCCAGCCCTGATGCAGACATGGTCATTAAGCATTAGAGAAGCCACCAAGCACTGACTCTAGGTGAAGGCGCGGCCTTTCTTGGGGCGCTGCCAGAAAGGATGCCAACGGCGCCTGCCTGTGGACATGGCACCCTGCCCCTGGGAACTTTGTGCACTCAGGTCCCATAGGCCTCTGAAGAGCCCGGCCAACAGACAGCTACGACTGCGTTGGCTAAGGCATAGCCCAGCGAGGTCAAGGCGAGTCTCACAACCATCTTCTGTGGGCTTCAGCTCAGCCCCTAACGCCCACCAGAGACTCCGCTGTGAAAGGCTCCAGTGCCCAGTAACAATCCCCTGAGGATTAGCAAACATCCATCTCTGGCATCAATGGCGCCGTCAACACCATTGTATCCCAGTTCCCTCCTCTTTCCTATTTTTGATGGGAGATTTCCAAGGGTCCCCTGTCAGGAATACAGACACCTCAGCCACCTGGAAGGGGCAGCTCCTGACTTCCTACAGCCGCAGTCAAAGCTGCTGCTGACAAGTGTGGCTGAAGCTGACGGGGATTTGCTCGACCGATTCAACTGCACATTGGACGCTGAGCTTTGAGTGAGACTTCCCGGTAAATTCTTTTAATATAAGAACAGAAGAACGGCCAGACTGGGTCAGACCGAAGGCCCCTCTAGCTCAGTAGCCTGTCTGCCCACAGTGGCCAATGCCAGGTGCCCCAGAAGGAAGGAACACAACAGGTAATCTTCACGTGATCCCTCCGCCGTCATCCATTTCCACACTAACAGAGGCTAGGGACACCATTCCTACTCATCCTGGCTAATAGCCACTGATGGACCTAACCTCCATGAATTTATCTAGTTCTTTTTTGAACCCTGTTAAAGTCCTGGTCTTCAGAACATCCTCTGGCAAGGAGTTCCACAGGTTGACAGTGCCCTGTGTGAAGAAAAACTTCCTTTTGTTTGTTTACTTATTAATGTCATTTGGTGACCCCTAGTTCTTATGTTATGGGAACAAGTAAATAACGTTTCTTTATTCACTTCCTCCATACCTGTCATGATTTGATAGACCTCTATCCTATCCCCCCTTAATCACCTCTTTTGTAGGCCAGAAAAGTCCCAGACTTTGTTGAGGGGATATTTTCAGGGACCCATAAAGTTAAAGACGTAATAGCAAGTAGGAAGTCTACTGACCCTGCAAGCATGCAGTGAAATCCCAAGTTCAGATGGAAAAGGCTCCATGTGCACACCGGAAAATTCCACCCCCTGTCCTCGGAAAGGTGAGAATCTTTCAACTGCTCATTCAGGCCTGTGTGCAATAGAGCATTCCAGGGTGCACACAGGCAAAATTACATACACCTCACAACTCCACGGCTCACTTATAACCAGGGTCCTCGTGCTCAGCTCAAAAGTCATGAAGCTACCCTGGAAGGGCTATGATTTTCCTGCTTTTCTGTTCCTATCATTTTCGATAAGCAAGACATGAGTGACGTCGAGGGGTCTAATTCATTCAGGGATGTCACAATCCAGCAATGACATCCCCACTGATACACTTGTGATGTCCCGCATGCTGGGCCGTGACATCAGCAGGCTAAAAAGCAGGACGAGTAAGGAAAAGATAAATTACAGACACACAGCGCCCGGCGCTGAGGAGACGAGAGGAAAGCCGCTATATGGTTTTCAGATCAAGAGATTAAACATTGCAGCTTGCGTGGGGAGGGGTGACAGCCAGGTTTTAAGGCTATGGAAGGACCACCTTTGTAGGGGCTCAGCTGATGCAGAAAGTTGAGCACAAATAAACAATGAACAAAAAAACAGCATCTCCCGGAGATAATAAAGGGAGATTGAGTTTTATAGCCCTACAGGAAGGTAGAGGAGCGGGGGTTTTCCCAGAACACAGTGTGTCTCCTTTGTTTTGTTTGAGAGATCAGCAGATGCAAGAGCTATATCAGATTGCCCAGGAAGTCCCCAGTAAGGGAGTGGGTGTAAAAACTACAAGGAACAGCATTAGCAAAGTTAGATCCAGACTAGATGACTCATCCGCACTCTCCTGCTATTACTGTGTCCTCTCCAATCAAAGGGGAAGAGAGAATAAATAACAGTTTGGTACTGACCCAGTGCCTGCCGTCCATCCAAGGGCTTTAGAAAGTGAATGCACCACTCCCTTTTTACAAATGGGGAAACTGAGGCACACCGAAAGGCAATGACTCAGCCTATGGCACACATATGGCAGCTAGTCAATAGCAGAGGCAGAAACAGCCTGACTCGGAATTCTGTGTCTGGTCCACTGGACTCTCCCGACCTCCGCCCGTACGTTTGGTTGAGCTATAGCGCACGCCTACTGGAAGGAGGCGGTCTGGGATACAGGTGTTTACTCTTGGAGGCATTTCTCACGCCGCTGGAGGAAGGATGCGGCTGCATTGTCAGAAATGTCTCCTAGATTTGCCCAGTTTTACAAAAGATCAACATCCACGATGCGCGGGGTGCACGTGAGGAGAATGAAACTATAGTGGCGGTCACTGTCGGCAGGTGCTGACCAACTACCCCTCCTCCTGCTTCTCCAGGGAAATTACAATGCCTTTTCCCTCCAACACAAACACTTCGGTGTGCTTTACAACCCAATACAAAGCACCAGTATCTCTGTTTTCCTAGGCAACCCTGCAGCGACACACAGGTGAACCAATGCCAGCACACTCACGAAAAGCCTGCATGCCCAATCCAACGCTCCTAAGCAGTCTGTAGCAAGAAAGCAGCATGCGCCCAGAAGCCACCCTACAATAACAAACCTTCAGGACTGCGTTAGCAATGCAGGAAGTTATGTCAATAATGACACAGATTTCAAGGGTCAACCTCAGAAGAGGAGGGCGGGGAGGAAAGAGAAAGACGTTTAAATAGTAAAAGATCCATTGTGGCTTCTTTTCCATCGGGTTTTTATGGCGACGATTCTGCACGACTCTGCAAAACAAACACGTACTGCCTTCAAGGAGCAGCTGCTTCTTAGGACCCATACTCTGATTTCCTTCACTTCGGGGTAAATCAGGAGTGACTGCATTGGTTTATACTCTACAGGTTGGACCTCCCTGGTCTGGCACCCTGGGGACCTGATTGGTCCCAGATGAGGGATTTTTCTGGACCGCGGAGGTTATTTCAGGCCCTCCCCTCTCCCCGCTTCCTGGCTCCCCCCGCAGCCCTGCTGAGCTGTACGCCAGCTCCCAGGTCCCCACCCCCCTGCAGTGCGCTGGGTCTTTCTGGCCCTGGAACATCGGAGGTCATGCTGGACCACGGATGTTGCCGGACCAGAGAATTCTGGATTTTAGAGGTGCAACCTGCACTTACATTGGCATAACTAACATTCATTCTGGGTTCCACAGTTATTTAAAAAAAAAAAAAAAAAAAGCTAGCTGCACGTCTGAGAAGTCTTCTGCAGAACGAACGCCCACCAACCGAACCGAACGTGTACACACAGGTCCCTTTACTGCACTCTGGCAATGTGAAGGTACTATACCCGATATGTAAAAACAAAAGGAAAAACTATGTAGCACTTGAAAGACTGACAAGATGGTTTAATAGGTGATAAGCTTTCGTGGGCCACACCCACTTCCCTCCTTTTAAAGGCCTCTTCACACTGCACACGTGGTCTAACGTAACCTTTGTGTAAACGTGATTCCAGCCAGCTCCAAGTGGATGCGGTAACTTTCTGTGCTGAAAACTTTGGGCCTAATTCTCATTTCCTTGCAGCATAAGAAGGCCTTCAAGGAAATCCAATTTGCACTCATATTCAGATTCCTTTATACTGTCCAAGTGGGGCTCTCATGTAAATGAGAAATAAGCCTTTTGATTCCAGTGCCATCTTTGGGGTTGTTTCAAACAAAATCTCTTATTTAATCATGCTCCTTAGCCCAGCTGAGTCAAAACTCACCTGGTGTCCCACCAGGTTGGTGCCTTCCTTGGACAAAGAACAGACATTTTGGCTACTTTGGATTTTTTTAAAATCTCAGGTCGTTTCTCATGCAAGGAAAGCTGTTAACCCCAGTGTCCTGGCCAAAGGACTCTAGAAAGAACTTCCTTTTGCCTGCGGGCTTTTTTCCAGCAACTGCAAAGGGTTACAGTGTCCTCTTTCGCTCTTTCTCCCACCCTATTGGGCAGCTGTCGTGTTCCACCCCAGAGGGGACATTTTTTTAAGGGCAGGAAAAGTGACTCCTGGCTATGCTGTTTGTAGATTGCTGTGCAACCCTTTGCAACAAAAGGAACTACCTTCATATCATATATTATTACTGGGCAAAATACTTGAGCCCATACCATTTCCTCATTCAATACTCCCATTGAAGTGCCTGGGAATTCGTGCATGAGTCAGAATGTTAATATTTGACTCGCCGATATTATTAACCACAGTGGCAGTTATTCCTGGCTTTGGAAAATTCTTCCATGCCCACTGTACAGTCTGGGGCCAGTCGGTCATGTATTCAGGACCTGGACAGGTAAAGACCAACGCGATCCTGGTACCCACAAGGAATGAGGTGAGAATTGCAGGTGAATTTTTCTCTAAGTTGCCAACAGCTTCATGCTGGGCCGCACTGGTGTTTTAACTCTAGTGACTAGGTAACAGACTCTGAGCCTAGGTCTACATTAGAGTAGGCAGGTCGGATTAAGGAACAGCTTACCCTAAGCCGAGCCATGGCGTCTACACTGAGGGAGGCCGACAGGAGCACACGCAGAATGAGGATTACAGGACGCCGGTGGGGGCTGCCTTCGGCGTCCAGTTTGGGGGCCTACACTAGACCCGCTACATCAAACACTAGAAGATCAACCTCCAGAGGGTCGATCTTCTCCGTAGTGTAGACGTACCCTAAACCTGTTCAGCCTCTAAGGAGTTAAGTAGCCGAGAGTGACTCAGATTCCTCCACCTGGCACTCAAAAGTCCCTGTATAACTAGACTTGGCACTTTGAGACAACTCCACGAATCCAGAGTCTAAAACGCGCTGCCTTCCGCTTGTCAAAAGAAGGCAAGTCCCAGTTAATTGAGGAAACAGAAACGTTCCCTCCACCCGCCTCCAGGCTGCTGCCTGGATTTTCAGAGTGAACATTGTGCAAAGAGAGTGAAATGTAATGTGGGGACACCTGCCCCCTCCCCCCGCCCCAGAAGCTGGCGTGTGCTTGTAATGCCATCCGTTCCGCACCTTGGAATCGTGTCACAGCTGCTCACGCAAGCACGGCAGACTTGTGGCTGACACAAGATGCACAGAATCCACCTCTCTCAAAACCCCCCTGGTCTATTTCAGCGGTACGGCGGAGATCGACGCACATTCACGCCGACAGCCGCAGCCGGATGCCAATTCATAATAGGACGCACTGTACTGAGGAAAAGCCTATCTGGCATTGTACATGATTTCTTACACAATTCATCATATGGAGACTCCACACAGAGAAAAGGAGGGGAGGTGGGAAGGAGCCAAACTAACGTGGTAACGGAAAAATAAAAAACCTTCCCCATTTCTTCATTCCTCCAACGATTTGCAAGATGCCTCTCCCTGCCTCTCTCGTCTGTCCCTTGCTGCAGAAGGAAAAGCGTCCAAAACGTACAGTAGTTGTGTTTTTTTTAAGCTCACTCTAACTACTGCACACAATTCAAAGGAAATATAGGAAACCACAATTCTCAGCTCTCCATACGAGGCAAATGGAAAGTCACTTAAAGTGACTCCTGTCTTAAAGTGGCAGGATCCATTTTCTTTGTCATGGCAAAAAAAAGGAAAACCAAACCAAACCAACGCCCGCAAACATCAGCAGAATGCGGGCCATCTGCACAGCTGTGACACTGCAGCTGATTGGTGCCAGGAGAGGTGACATGCCACTAGCGAACCATTTGCTCGTACTGTCCTACAAGTCCAGTTGTCTTCTACACGTGGAGCAGTTAGATGCGGAGACCCTGACAGAGTTCCCAAAGGCCTGGTAGTGCCCAGAATGTCCCGTTCCCCAGAGGAAAATTCAGCTGGGGACGGGGTAGCTTCCCACATAGATGCTAGGCGGGTGTGACTGCAAAAACTTTTGCAAGTGCACATTAAGCTGTGCCTAGTAGGAGCCAGCAGGGGAATGCAGTTTCGTAAGCGCGCTCCAGAGACGGTAGGTAAGAGGAAAGGGACTAAAAAAAGCCCCACTCCAACAACCAATGAAAAATTCACATCAAAGGCAACTTCTCTGTACAGCAGATGAGCAGATCTTTCTCCACATCTCTCTCTTTTTTTAAAAAACAGATGAACTCAGGACGTGGAGGGGGGGAGGCAGCACTTCATTAACTCCTTGTCTCTCAGAGACACACGAACGATCACGCTGCCCGGGGAAAGGAAAACCACACCGCGTTTCTTGCTGCAAGCCGTTGGAGTTTACAAAAGGCAGCGGGTCAGTGACAGCAGAAGCCAAGCTGTGTTTATCTTAGGGGTTCCCATGACTAATACCTAACCCGCGGAAGCACAATCGCATCACCGTCTAATAAAGAAAAAAAAGGAGGGGGTGGGGAGAAGGAATTTTTAGCTGTAAAAATAAAAGGCCATTATTTCTGAAAAGCTCAGGGATGACACAAATAGCTGAAATGCCTCCGAGCGGAGAAGCATCATGTTTAACTCTTGCCGAGCTCACCGTGACACGGAACGAAGAAAAGGGGAAGAGGAGAAAAAGTTAAAGGTACTTTTCCGGGGAAAGGCAGCACCCCCGGAGCAAGGCAGATTACTAAAGAAAACACAAACCCCAGGAATAACTGAAGCACACGCTGCAAGCCAAGGTATTAAAAAACCCAGAGCACTGACATGTGGCAAACAGCACTTTTTACCTTCCCCCCACCTCTCCAGGCCAAACACAAATAATATTCTCATGACATCAGTGACCAACCCTAAATGACAAAAGGGTATTCGCTTACCTCATTATCAATCGGCTGGGCGGAAGGGCTGCGTTTTCCTGTGCGGGGTTTAAATAGCAAAGGAAGGGATTGAAGAGCTGCAGTCTTGTGCTGTTCCTCAGCAATCTGGGGATAAAAAGAGAAGTCTTCATTACTGACCACAGGCACGGAGACGTGCGGCGCACGCCCCCTCGAAGCAGCACCAGCCAGTAGCACACAGAAGTTAGCCTACAGGAGCAGGAGACAAGCTGAGCAGAGACCATAGTGATTTATCTGCACCTCTGGTGCAAAGGGGGAGGGGGAAAACCAGCCCGAAATATGGCAAAAGAGAAAACATCAGGCCGTAGGATGGCGGGCAGGAGTGCATGCCAAATCCTTAAGGAGGGGGGGAAAAAAAAACCCAACCTACCACACTCCTTTAATAAAAAATTTAGCCAAGACCTTAATTAAAAAAAAAAAAGTCCCAACAAAGTCTCAGATAATGGGCTGCATTTTCAGGAAAACAATCTCAAAGGGCGCCGTTTCGAAACTCCTACCAGAGAAGGGAAAGCTGCCAGTTCTAGGTCACAGGATCAAAGCAACAGACTCTCCTGGCTCCAAATCTCTTATGCCCGTGTCAAGCCAAAGTCACTCTCTCGGCATCAGTGGGGCTATTTCTGATTTACACCCGTGGAATCACCACGCCCTCTCTCCGGTGACTTCAGTGCAGCTGCTCCGGATTTGCACTGGTGCCACAGAGAGCAGAATCAGGCTCTCCTTGCACGGACTTCACTTCAGTTTACACCAGTGTCACTAAGGCTTTGTCTTCACGGCGAGTTCTTCCGGCAGAAAACATGCTAATGAGGGACGCGTTAGCATAAGTTGTGATCTCATTAGCATATTTTCTGCCAGAAGAACTCGCAGGGAAGACGAAGCCTAAAAGAAGAATGCAGCGTCCCCTTTCCCTAGGTCACGATTGGATGGGAGTGCCCCTCGTTCAAACAATACTCCCTCCGTCATTTTCAATGATTAAAAGGGAAAAAGGATTATCCACATAGTCTCTGTTGCCATTTCCACAGCAGCAAGGCCAAATTCCTTGTCCAATTACGCTTCTTATGTAGGTAGCGCTGTAAATGTGGAGAATTATTTGTCATCTAATCTTGACAGTCAAGTGGAATTCCAATAAAAATTTTGAGAAAGGGGCTTGGGGGGGGCTGACATATTGGAATACGGGCTCTAAAACGACTTTTGGCTTTGATTGTAAGAAAATGCATGTGGTTTTCAATTGCTTAGATGTAACATCTTTTTTGGTAAGCCTTAAACGCAACCAAACATTTCTCAGTTGTGTTCCCGTTGTTATTCACTACAGAGAATCTATGTTGCATGTTGTATTTGTATCTTATATAGCAGGGGTGGGGAACGTAAAGCCTGGGGGCCCGATGTGGCCCCTAGCTTGCCTGGATCCAGCCCCCAAGGCTCAGGGCACCTTGCTGCCCCACTGCAGGGCAGGAACATACAAAATCTCCTAGGCTGCCCCCCCCCCCCAGAGGGGAACGTGGAAAATGTCTTTCTCCTTCTTAGGCGGGGCCATATCAGTGAGGGTCTGGGGTTTTTGTTGTTGTTGTTGTTTTTGCTTTTCACCTGTGTGTGGCCCCCAACTGATTTTTCTGTGCGTCAGTGGCCCCCGACCCAAAAAAGATCTCCCACCCCTGTTATATAGTACGGACAATCTCCATCACGAGCCCCTGTCCAAGTCCCTACACAAAGAGGAATCCTGAGGTTCTCTCTCCTTCCAGCTCTCTACATGATGGACATGCTATATTTAATAATGCACCCTCGTTCACATTCCTGTAGTGACTTTCCTTAAAAGGATCTTCTCCACGTGCTTTACCACACCAACCTATTTTGATAAGGAAGAGAAACTAACAGAAATGACAAGTTTTGAAAAAAGGCCACAATCTCCCTCTTCTCTGTCTTTACCGGACAGCTCTCATCAGCATTATTCCATTATGCCCGCTTTCCAGGTGGATCATCTGCCACCGCGGACCAAGGTCACACAGCAAATCAGAGCTGGGAACAGCATCCAAGGGTGTGTCTAGACTACACCTCTCTGCCGACAGAGAGATGTAGATTAGGCACATCGAAATTGCTAATGAAGTGGGGATTTAAATATCCCATGTTTCATTGGCATAAAAATGTTTGCCGCTTTTTTTCGGCATGGAGCTTTGTCAGAGAAAAGCTGCCGCCTAGAGGCTGATCTTTCGAAAAATAAAGCCTTTTTCGAAAGATCCTGTAAACCTCATTTCACGAGGGATAAGGGATCTTTCGAAAAAGGCTTTATTTTTCGAACGATCAGCCTCTAGACTGCAGCTTTTCTCTGACAAAGCTCCGTGCCGAAAAAAGCGTCGGCCATTTTTATGCTAATGAAGTGCAGGATATTTAAATCCCCACTTCATTAGCAATTTCGACGTGGCTAATCTACATCTCTCTGTCGGCAGAGAGGTGTAGTCTAGACACACCCATAGAGTCCCCGCTCATACCTCTGGAAAACAATCGCCTTCCCCCACCATAGCCCCACCCTAGAGGACTTCTTCGTGGGCTTACTAGTCAGTGGCTACATCTACACTATGAGTTTTCTCGGCAAAAAATATGTTAATGAGGGACTCATTTGCATGAGTCGCGATATCATTTGCATGTTTTCTGCCAATCCGTTTTTTCACTAGGGCTTTTGTGAAAAAACAAACAGTGTGGACATTTTTGGGGGAGCAAAAACTCCCTTTCCTGCAAGATCCTTATGCCCCCAAAAAAGAGGTTTACCGATCTTGTGGGAAAAGGGGGTTTTGTGCAAAAAGAATACGTCCACACAGCTTGTTTTTGCACAATAATTCTAGCAAAAAACCGGATTGGCAGGAAATATGCAAATGAGATTGTGTCTCATGCAAATTAGTCCCTCATTAACATATTTTTTGCCGAGAAAACTTGTAGCGTAGATGTAGCCGGTGTGTGAGTAGTCCCTGAAAGTCAAGCGTGTACGTAAGTCTCTGCAGCCTCAGGGACTATAGCTCTAATGCGTAGTAGATGCTGTTGCCCAGGTCCATCAGGGTGGGGCTGGTGGCATGGGGGTGCAGGAGCCAGGGCAGGCCCTTGGGGATGTGGGGGGAGATAGGGCAGGAGGCTGAGGGGTGGCGGGTGAGAGAGTGAGGGTTGAGAGGTGAGGACGAGCTTAGGGTGGGAAGTCCCCTCTGCCGGAGCCTTTTCTCTCCCCCTCCTCAGCTGGCAGGGGCCTTTTCTCTCTCTCCCTACCTCCTCTTTGCCCCGGATGCCAGGACCTTCCCCCCTCAGCTTTCCTGCCCGCCAAAGGTCTTTTCTCTCCCCCTCTCAGCTTCCCTGGCCACGAGGGGCCTTTTTTCTCTCCTCCCCAAAGCCCCCTCTGGCCACCAGGGCTTCTCTCCCTCCAGCGCTTCAGTCAAGAGCCAGGGGAGAGACGTTTGGGGCAGGGGGCGGTTCTCACCCAGTCTGGTGGCGGGCAAAATGGCGGAGCCACGGCCCTGCTGGCCACTCTCTTGGTGGTGCAGCTGCCCCCAGGCATCTCCCTGCATATAACCCTCTCCTGTGGGCTCGCTACCCCCAGAGGCCACTCTCAGTATTGTGCCCCTCCCTTTCTATGTTATGGAAACCAGTCCTATTCCTGGCACTTCCCATTTTCTGGGCACAACCAAACCTTGGCCCTGCTTTAAGCTAGGAGAAGAGGAAGCAGACTACCGAATTTGGTGGCCTGAGCTCTTAGAAGATAAGAACATAAGAATGGCCAGACTGGGTCAGACCAAAGGTCCATCCAGCCCAGTACATTGTCTGCCAACAGTGGCCAATGCCAGGTGCCCCAGAGGGAGTGAATCAAACAGGTAATAATCAAGCGATCTCTCTTCTGCCATCCATCTCCACCCTCTGACAAACAGAGGCCAGGGACACCATTCCTTACCCATCCTGGCTAATAGCCATTGATGGACCTAACCTCCATGAATTTATCTAGTTCTCTTTTAAACCCTGTTATAGTCCTAGCCTTCACAACCACCTCAGGCGAGGAGTTCCACAGATTGACTATGTGCTGTGTGAAGAAGAACTTCCTTTCATTTGTTTTAAATCTGCTGCCCATTAGTTTCATTTGGTGGCCCCTAGTTCTTATATTATCGAAACAAGTGAATAATTTTTCCTTATTCACTTTCTCTGCACCACTCATGATTTTATAGATCTCTCTCATATCCCCACTTAGTCTCCTCTTTTCCGATCTGAAAAGTCCCAGTCTCTTTAATCTCTCCTCATATGGGACCTGTTCCAAACCCCTAATCATTTTAGTTGCCCTTCTCTGAAACTTTTCTAATGCCAGTATATCGTTTTTGAGATGAGGAGACGACATCTGTACGCAGAATTCAAGATGTGGGCGTACCATGGATTTATATAAGGGCAGTAAGATATTCTCTGTCTTACTGTTTAGAAGGAGTTTTCTTGAACAGACTCGCAGACAAACACACAGACAGATGCACACATCTCTAAAATATAGATTAGAAGCCTAATCCGAGCTAGCTAGTCCGTGCCGCGTGTAGCTGCGCAGCACGGGGTCCGAACTAGCCGGCATTTAAAAATGGCGCCGGCCGGCTTCATGCAAATGAAGCCCGGGAAATTCAAATCCCGGGCTTCATTTGCAACTGTGGATGACTACATTACCCCCGCTAGTTCGAACTAGCGGGGTAGTGTAGACATACCCTTAGAGACTTCTATGCTATGGAGGATACATATAACGCATCACCTCATCACATATTCTCTGGAGAACGTTGTGAGCATGCTCGCCTTAACATCTGATTTGCCAACATTTAGAAAGGAGCTATGCTTTCAAAATACACACAAGCACAACAGCACACTCACATAGTATTTGCACCCAGAAGCCATGTGTTGTACACACCCAGACACACACATGCCAGGAGAAGTCAAATGAATACAGGATCATCTGCTTTCAGCTACATTGCAACGAATCCACACTCCACAGTAATCTTTACTGAAGCCAATGAATTTAAGCTGGTGTGCAATCAAACTTGGAGTCCATATACTTTCTGTTGGAAAAGCAGGCCATGCGTTAAAGAGTGAATGTAGAG